AGTGCACGCTTTAGTCGAAGATCCAGCTACCGACTGGCGCGCCGTAGTTCCACAAGTCTGGCAAAATTCGACGAAGTTCGACTTCCCAAAAGTGCTGTCCGACTCCTACACAATTATTTCATAACTTTAAAGAAAAAAAAAATTTAAAATAGTTTAATTCATGTTTTACACAATGTAAAAGCAGCCACATAAACCAATCATTATTTAGTTATTAGTGTGAAACAATACGCCTTATAAATGTTGCATCTCTCCTCCGCTATGTAGCATCCGACTCTTTTTTTTTTTTTTATTTCAACGTATGCGCATTATAGTGGGACTTGAGTCGAAGCATCATCGAACTTTGCCGTATTATCCCTAGTTATGACTATGAGCCGTTTATTACATTTATCGTACGGGCGCATCAAGAACAAAAAAAGAAAAAGGGCCACCCGAAGCTAGACCGGGCTTTGGCGTTGGTGGCACACTATTAAAATGATGAACGTGACAAAATCAAAGGATTTCTATATATAATGTTTTTAGTGTCATAAATAGTTCTCTAAAACTCGTAGAGCGATTACAAGGGCGACTGCGTTTAGTCATCAGCCGAAAAAGTTGATTATTTCTAGTCAAATGAAGTATTTTTTAATTATTAATATTAGAGCGAACGCAGCACAATAAAGTCGCTACGCAATATATATATATATATATATATATATATATATATATATATATTAATTTGCGGATGAATTTTCTCGATGTGGTTCCGTTTTATATAAATTTTATCATTGAATCGAGCGGAAACGTCTTTTCGCTTATTATCACCCCATCTATATTTTAACGCCGTGCTCTTCTTTTTTTTTTTTTTTTTTTTTCGTCGTTCAAAATTTTGATTAAGGAAACGGTACGGTTCGTTGACTAAAATAAAGGTTAAGAAGTATGATAATTTATTTTTACATTCTTACGGTTATCGCGATTTCCCTTGGTGCAACGGAAGGTTCGCTTTGATAAAGCTTCCCAGAACGACATTATATCTCCATTTTTGTTTAGGAAATGATAAATTAACTTAGCAAATAGAAAATGATTCAGGGAGTTTTAGGCTTATACATTCTGAGAAAATGTAAAGAAAGGGGCAGGATCGTAATTGAATAAAAAATATCGAATTGATGATAAGATGTTGAAACAATAACATTTTTAAACTAAAGCGCTCTACGGGTAATGCTTGAGTCGCCTCTTGTAAGCTTCATCTTCGCCCTACTTAAACGCAAAGGGGGCAGATAAAATAAAATCTGTGTACTTTGGGGAGATATATTTTTATTGTACATTGTTTTTTATGTTACTTCGAAGCTTTCGTCTTCCCACTGTCTGACCGTAGATCGATCTGCATTCACATTTATTTATTTATTTACCCTCAAGGTCCGAAAACATTACAGAGGGGAGTGGGAAACACAAAGAAATAACAACAGGCAAAATAAGCAGTCATATATAAAAAAAAAAAGTTAGAGCATATTTAAAAATGCATAAGTCATCAATGGTGGCAATGTCAAACCAATATAGTAGGGAAAAAAACACGCACACGCAAAGAGGGTGATTAGAAACTTCTCCGTAAAACAATGTTCGTGTCTTCGACGACTTGCAAATTTACAACACCGCACTAAAAAAAAAAAAAAAATAAATTGCGTGTTTACTTTTGCAGAACATGAGTAACGGTGAACAGTAGCGAGATTCCCAACGAATAACGAAGCTAAAAATACAATTAAATTTGAAAAAAAAAAAAAAACATGTGCGCAGAAACATTGAACAAAGACCCTTCTCCAGACTCCGTCAGGCAACATTGGCGGTCGCCACTGCTTGGTTTGTTTCTTTAGACTCAGGCTAGATGGCGTAAGCTACCGCCTCTAACAAAAGGTTTAGCCATTAACATCCCTCCATGCACCCTTGCACACGAAGCGCGTGATTGGATCCTAGTTCACGCCGAACTCTGACGCAACCCTCGTGTCCCCTACGTGCTCAAAGTACGCGATCAAGCAATGGCAGAGAGTTGATGGCGCGGACTTGTGAAAAGGATCTATTGGGAAACGGCTTGCTCATAGTTCCTGTGCGCATCGCAGTTTTCGAATATAATCTTATTTCGAGCTTCGTCATCCCCTGGGATTCTTCTATGCGGAGGGCAAGTTCGTCTGCTTCTTGCGCAGGGGGTAGCGTTGACGTCAGAACGCCGAGCCCTGATTGGCTGATCGCGACCCCCTATCTGAGCGTCGTCTGCTCCTTTGCAACGTCGTCTACTCCCAACGTCGTCTGCGTCTGTCTTACCTTTCTTGCGACTTTCGGAAGTGCAGAGGCCAGATTCACGAAACGATCTTACGCCAAAAATGTGCGTAAGACAAAACTTAAGAACAAATTCGTATTCACGAAACGAAATTTTTGTAAGTTTTGCGCAGGTTACGACGAAATCCTACGACAGCTCCGAAGCTGTCTTACGCACTTCTTACGATCAAGTCAGCATGGCCAACAGCGTCGCGATCGCGACGATCCACGGACGTTTATTTTTCTACGTGCGCTTCTCACGCGTCCCGACTTCAAGCAGCAAGAAAAGAGTAAAAAGTACTTGAAACAGACTACGACGAACAAGAACGCTGGATCCACAAACACCCGGGAAAGGCTCCAACGGCCACGATTCCACCGAACGTGACCAAGCGAGCACGGCAGTTAGGCCTAGCAGGCACTCCGCGTCTCGGCGACCGTCTGCCCACGACCGGCTGGTGTGCTGAATGGAATATGCCCGCGCGACCCTTGTGAACCCTTCCCGTATTATACTTTGATCGCTGACCTCAGTTTTAGATTAAGAGGTCAATTTCTTCCTCTTGTTATCTCCTTGTTTCCCGAGGCAACGGTGACTCTCGCCGGTGAAAAAGCGGTGAATCTCCGACAGACGCAGGAAAGGTAAAGCAGCCATCGCTTTGACTAGCAGACGTAAAACAGACGACGTTAACTGCGCCAACCCGCCGACGCCGTTAAAGAATGAGGGGTCTCGCCGCACGCGAAAGGAGGGGAAAAGTATTTGGGAGGGCTCTTAGCAAACAAACCTCGGCGCCCCGGGACACCTCGCCAGTGAGTCCTTTGACTTCCCTCCTTGATGCGCGTCTGCTAGTTGTTAGACAAAAACAACGTACCGCTCGACTTATTTCGTCTGCCCTCTCTGAAAGGCGAAGTCGAGCTCGCTCGACTTTCGAAAGTCGCAGGAAAGGTAAGACAGACGCAGACGACGTTGCGAGCAGACGACGTTGCAAAGGAGCAGACGACGCTCAGATAGGGGGTCGCGATCAGCCAATCAGGGCTCGGCATTCTGACGTCACCGCTACTTCCTTTCTCATGCGCAGAAGACGAAAATGAGCTCACTTGCGAGGTGTATTGCTATCCGTGATTGGGGGCTTCTTTCGTGTTTTCCAGGAAAGTAAGCTCACAAACTGTTTTTTTTTTCTAAGTCTGCCATCTTTTTTTTTACATTTCTTTAAAGGGTTAACCTCGTAATCGTGTGACATTACTGAGTTCTAGTCTAGCGTGTACCAGTAAACACGAGCACTGTGCGTTTGCGTTAGCCTTGCGTGTTCCACAGTGCGCGTGCGCGGAGCCCAAACTGTGTCCCAGATTTGTGCATGGCAACGACGCGCATGCGCAGCGTGGAGCACGCAAGCAAACGCGCTTTCGTTTGCTCATATACAAAGTGTCACAAAAAAATTTTTTTAAAAAGTAAATTAGGCGTCGCCGAACGCTCGTTTTCCGCCCAAAGCTAGCGCTAGATGTCATAACCAGATGCCGAAGTTTCAGCCCGATCGGATACCTTATTCAAAAGTTATAAGTGATCTTCTGAAAATTTGAATGGGAAAATGGAGCCCATTTTTGCCCGTTTTCGGTTTCTGGTGCCATAGAGCCCCATGTATTCGAAAACTCCGTCGACCCCATTTTACCGTTGATCTTTTCAGAAAAACACTTATAAGTTTTGAATAAGGTATGAGATCGGGCTGAAACTTTGGCATCTGGTTGTGACCTCTAGCGCTACCTTTGGCCGGAGAATGAACATTCGGCGATGCTTAGTTTATTTTTGCGATAGAAAGAAAAAAAAATGTAATTTTTTTGTAACACTTTGTACGCAGTATTTCAACTTCCTAGTCTGACCTGCCTTTTTTTAATAGAGTGAAAATTGACGTCATCATATACCCCATTCACGCTTAATAAGCTTGAATGGGGGATATGATGACGTCAATTTCATTGCTTGTGCTCGCGTGCACCGGCGGCTGCTGGCTGGTAGAAAGATCGTGCGCCACTTATTATGGACACTGAAATGTTTGGTTCAGCATCCCCTAAGCCCATAATTTGCTTTTTAGGTTAAAAAACAAAAACAAAAAGGTAAGCCGAAACTGAAAAAAATAGCTAAAATACAATATGTTATTTATAGGCTGTGCATGTAGGAAACGAACGACGTAAAACAGCGGCCCACGCCAGTGCATTAGACATTCCGTCAAGTACAATGAAGGTCTTACTTTATTGTTTTTTTAGCGAGCATTACTTTCTATCGGAATTCGGCGGGGGGAACCTATGGCGTAGCATCACGTGACACGGTGGCGGCACATAACGCCATGACGTTACGTGGCACTGTGACGTCTGGTGATACCATGATGCCATGTCACGTGATATTGTGGCGTTATGGGGTCAGAACAGCATGATCAAGAAATGTCGATAAAGAATCCTCATGCAAAAATATCGCATTACAACGTTACCCACACCAGTACCCCGAAATTTCGGTAATAATAGAGAAGTTTTCAGCACCACCGATCGAACGCCCACCCCGTATTTATCCCTCTCACCTGTTCACAGTAGGTGGGCGTTCATTCGGGATTTTATTGCATACATTTTTTTTTTTTGTTAGGCATGATCAAAACAAGCTCCATGATTTCTTTCTATTCCCATCCATCTCATTATTGCCTCTCTCACTCTTTCCTCCTCTTTTCTAAATGACGGCGCAGGAGAACTGCTCCGTGTTCGAGTCCCAGATCTCGTCCCAGTGTGACCTCCTGGCCGAGGCCCTGGAGTGTCGTCGGCGGGAGTTGCTGGCCTTCGCGCGCCGGGAGCGGGACGCCAAGCTCAAGGCCCTCAAGGCGCAGCTCTCAAACTGCACCGTCACGCTGCAGCGAACCACGGCGCTGCTCCAATTCTGCATCGAAGCCCTCAAGGAGACCGACCACGCCGCCTTCCTCCAGGTGCGTGAGAAGGAAACGGGACGTGAGATGCAAATGGACCGAATGAACGCAGGCGCAGCTTTTCTGTTCAATCTGTGCCCTGCGCTGGCGTCTGATTCGTGTGGTATAGACAATTCAGCCATACGGCTTTGCTATTGTACATCGTTTCATTCACCGTGCGTGATTGGAGGTGGTAGCAAACGTTCAAGACCGATGAGCGCCGTCACGATGCACTTCTGACACTGCTTGATTGCCTCCATCGGATTGTAGTGTGGGTTGCGGTCGAGCTTGAAGAGGCACTATACTACTTTTGCGACAGTCTATTTATGCTCATAACTCTATCTATGAGCTCTAAGCATCATTAAAAAAAACATAGCATTGCGTTTTTTGCGTGGCAGATTTCTCTATTAAAATCGGTATCAAAGATCGACTACCTCGGAGCTATCGTAGACACCAGAGGGCGTCGTCTCCGCCCTTCCTCGTTCGGTGGATCCCTCTGGTATCTCAATCTTTTATTACAATTTTAATAGAGGAATCGGCCACGCACGAATATAATATTTTCCTTTTTTAGGATGCGTAGAGCCCCTAGATTAAGTTATGTCCATAAATGGACTATCGCGGAAGGTGATTTTAGTGTCCCTTTGAAATGAAACGTAGTGCAGACGACTGGGTCAGGTTCTGGGCATGCCCATTGGCCTTCTCCGGCGGTATGCTAGACGTCGCCTGTGCGTCTCGCTGCTTGTGTGCAGATCGGGTCTGCCCTGGTGAACCGGGTGGCCAACGTGGACGTGACGTGGCACAAGGACATGGCGCCCACGCCTTGGGCCTCGCCGGACTTTGACCTGACGCTGGACCAGCGCTCGGTGCTAGACGCCGTCAACCAGCTCACCTTCACACAGCTCAAACGTGAGTTTTCTCCTCACTATTTCCCCTCGACCCCTCAGTAAACAACGCTAGACTGTTAAAGAGAACGAGCGATCGTCAGTTTTTTTCCCCGGATTTCTTCTTAAATTGAGCAGCTGTAATAGAAACAACTGGTGTGGCAGAAAGTATTCATTTGGGCTAGTAACTTCAGACCCGTTCACACGCTTCCGACTACTTAGGACCGAGTGCCTTAAACCCTTTTAAAATATTCTATGACGAGACAACGGACTGGCACGCTGGCGCCATCTACTTGGTGACCCTGGAACTGCACTTCAGTAGAGCGAAGATTTTGCGGTATTTGCGAAGTCAGATGTACGTATACCTCTGAGATATGGTTGTATATAACATTGACAAAAGTTTTCTCCAAACAAAAATAAAAAAGGAGAGCGAAAAAACCAAATATACGGAACCGCCCAATGTTTCACAGCTACCCGATAGTTGGCGCCACTTTGTTCTGGCGTCGTAAGAGCTTTTAAGAGGTTTCAAGCCACACGGTCCTAAAAGGTCGCAAGTGTGTGGACGGTCCTTTAAGCTCGACAGCTTGGTGCCCATCTATACTCAGTTTGAGTGAAATCCAGAAAAGAGCCGATGTCGTGCAGTGCACGCTCATTGGTTAGGTTTTCTAGCCATTTTGCACGGATATTTAAGGCCACCGCAGTATAATGCAACATCTCGGAGATCAAGCAGGGCTCTATAGTATATATTAACTAAAAAAAAAATCCTTTGCCGATCGACGAATGCTTCCGCTATAATTGCTTCTGTCCTGTAGCACCTTCAAAGCGGATTCACGGTGATACGGTAAACGGCAATGAATGCTAAACGCTGAACGCCAGATTTCTGACAGACTGTGACGTTCCATGTAAGTTTGTTTAAAGGGTCCACGAAACGATGTATATTTATTTCGCTTGCCTCGATGTGATCATAATGGAGAACAGAGGCTTGTCCACAAGCTGGTAGGAATCACTTAAAAGGTGCCCCTTGGAGGTGTCTGAGATCGCCTAAATATGGCGACAGCTCACTCTGCGGGCTCTCACCATCCTAGAAATCCATAAATCATAACGACGCACGGCCGACCTCCCCATCAAAGAAAGCAATCAAAGATCAAACACACCGAGCTCATCTCCAGCGATGGGAGGACCATTGTTCCGGCAGCGAGGAAGGCATGTGACCAATGAAAACGCGACATTTCGTTGAGATTGCAAACGCTGTTATTTCAATTTCAATTCAATTCAATTCAATTTTTATTTTCAGATCAAGTCATACAAAATAAAGAGCTGGCCCACAAAAGCAGCATTCTGCTTGTATTGCAAAATGTGAATGCCTTTGTAGATGATAGAAGCAAATGGGAGTGGTCGAAATATGTTAATTTTTCGCTGAGAGGGACCATAATACTAAAATAATCGTCTCAACAACAACTTAAACATTTTTTTTTATATAGAAATTGGCCCCGCTTCGTGATTTAGGAATTTCTAGGATGCTTGGAGTGAGTTATCGCTATATTTAGGTGATCTCAGAAACCTTCCCAGGGTACCTTTGAAAAGAAAGCTGTGTTGAGCGCTCTCATTCACGTTGACCAATCTGCTTGCTTGCTTTTGTTTTTTTAATATTCCTCTCTTTCCCTCTTGTTTTCCTGCTTTCACGCAGCGGACGGCGACGAATCTGCAGGTGACGAAAATCCTACCCATGCGTTGCGGCGCTTTTGTTGTCGATATTCGCGACTATCTGTGCCTACACTCTCACAAGTTCCGGCATGTATGCTTCCCCGCGATGTCCTTCGAAACGCTAGCCATTCGGTTTCCTTTAATCAGTTGAGGCGGTGAGAAGTTCGTTGAGCCAATGGCGATATCCACCGCTTTCGACAGCGCGGATATCACGGCCATTGGCGCACGACCCCAATCGACCTTTTCATTGGCCGGACAGTTTACCTGTAGACCTTCACCATGTTCGATGGTATCACAGTGCAGTGTACATTCTGGGACCTAGTGTGGCACATTCCGGCCTGAGCCACCCAATAGAGCACGGAAATGAACACTTTGATGTCATCTTGAATGTGTTCGCGTCTGTCGCAGGGTGATGTCATCAGGTCATTTTGCGACTCTATATTCTGCTTTGCTTTTTGCGCACGTCACGGAACGTATCCGAGCTTATAGCTTTGATCGGTGCTTGACCGACAGTTTGCTACAAGCTGTTTCTTTGTATTGTTTATTTATTTTTTTCTCTTTTTTTTTTTTTTTTTTTTGCTGACACTTTAAAAAGGAGGAGAATTAATTCATACTTGTTTTATGAAACTGAATGTTTAGCTAGGCGGAAGATACTCTACCTCAAGGGACGTCTTGTTTACCCACTGTAGATGAGCAATTGGGGCGATAATGTGCTGTGCTCGTGCACTGATTATACGACAGCACTGATTATACGACCTCACGCCGGTACTGTGCTCGTGCAGATCGAAACGGGGCAGGGGTGGGGAGAGATTGAACCCAGAATCGTATTTGCGGTGTCTCCAATTACTTATGGCACCGGAGCCTAGTACTAGCTGAGTTGGCGATTACAGCAATGTGTCTTTGTCTAAGCTTTTTGGCTCGTTGAAGATAACGTTCCAGGTAACCGTCACGAGGGGAAGGCCCCCAATTCTGACGAGCGTCCTGGCATTAATACTCTCCAGTTTGATGAGCCACCTTTCGAAATAAAAATGCACTAACGCACTTTAAGTTAGAAGAAAACACAAACAAACAAACAAACGCAAAGCAAAGCTTATCAAAGAACCTTGAAGTGTAACGAAGCGCTCCGGCGACGAAGACAAAGGGTGCTGCGAACGCTCTTGTTTTTCTTTTTCTTCCTTTTCTCTTCGTCTCCGCTCCTACGACCTCATTGTGCATTCAGTGGGTGTCAACCTCATCTTCTCCATCTCCCTCACCTCCTCCACCTCTTCCCTACCCCCAAACTCGGAAGCGGTCTTTCGAAGCCAGTTCTGGGAAACACTGGGGCTCCAATTTGCGGGCGTGTGGTCGAAGCACCGAGGCGTCGGCGGCACCTTTTGCGCCGCCCTGAACCCCCGCATTTTGGGGGAGTTTTTGAAGATCCTCCTCGTGTAGAGAACAGACTCGATCTCGCCGTGGCATACACCGTTTCTCCTCCCGATGGACCGCAGCGGACACTATTAGCCATCCCAGCCAACCCAGCTTCGTGAACGTATCGTATCATACACCCCAGCGTCGCTGCGCCCCCTCCTCAAGGTCACGTGACGTTCAGACCGTATCGGATTGGCTGGAATGTCTCCTAGCCTCCTCTGCGGTTCATCGTAAGGTGAGACGGTGTGTTGGTTCAGTGCTCGGTGGCTTTCCTTTTGCCGTTAGTGGTACTGCTGCGTGTGCTGCTTGCGGTTCTGGCGGCGCGCGGTTCTAGACTTCGTTTCACCAGAACTTTGCAAAGAGCGAACGCTACGGCCACCTGGAACCAATCAGAGAGACGGAGCGGAGCACGTTACACCTCTTCTGAGGAGGAGATGAGTCCGATGATACGTTGTCACGTGCCTCCTCCTTTCGACACGCTGGTTAGCACAAGCCTTTACCATTTGCCAAGCTATGATGACACGGAGTAGAGTCTGACTTCCTAGGTCCGTTGTTCTAGGTCTAAAGGGAAACGAGGGAGGGGAGGGGGCGGGGAGTAATGAACAGGAGAGGATGGAAAGCGACTTCGCCGGCGGAATTTTAAGCAGCCCGGGCGCGCGTAACGAGAAGTTTTGCGGGGAAGCTCGCGACGAGAGTGGCGCGGCTCTGTGGAAGGAGAGGTTCTAAGGCGTTTTCACTCAAAATTTCGTGTCGGCGTTTCTTTTTTTTTTCGTTTAATACAGGAGGATAGGCTTGTTTGGTTTTTCGTTTACCTTGGAAGCGTGCCGAGAATGAAGCGCGCGTGTATTTAGTTATGTATCAAGTTCGGCCCTCCTCTTTCTATATAATTAGAGCGAAAGCTCGTGCCGCAGAGCCCGGGGGTCCTGGGTTCGAACCCCACCACTGCCCGCTTTGATCTGGGTGAGCGTCTTACTGGCGTGCGGTCGGGTATCACTACTTCTTGATGCAGGTTAAAGTCCCCAGGCTAGTAATGTTTACTGCTCTGGGCAAATGTATCGTATACAGCGGAGACACCGAAGGCCCACTGAGGCTGGCCAGCCTCCCGCTGTACAAACATACATACAACAGCTTTGCTATTTCTATACCTTCGTTCTCCGAATCTGTCTGCCTGGCGTTCATCTTCGTGCTCTGTGTGACGTCTTCCGGAAAACAGTTCACCACAGACGCGTTCCAACTTCCTTCGGGGAAACGCGCCTGCAGGGTTCATTGCTATACGCCCATTCGTCTTCCCTCGGCCATCTATCTTTATATTTTTGGCGCTGCCGTAATTCGGACTCGGTCAGCTTGTACGCAGTGGGATAGCCTCCTGTATACTAGCAAAATCTGCTTTCGGCGCCACAACTGGCCGCAAAAAATTGGGAGACATAACGACATAACACGACTGAAGGAGGATGGAAGGTTGATGGCGCCTTCAGAGATCCGGGGTCATTCCCGGAAACTCTCCTATATTTCTTAATTGCTTTTGTTTAAACTTAAAAAAAAAAAAAAAGATTGTTGCTTTTTTTAAGCTATCTTTGTGTACCAGCCACCCTGCTTTCCCAGTCCTTCAGTGCATCATCATACCAAGAGAAAAAAGTAAACAGCCGGTCGTTCTTTATTTTTTTTTTTATTTCTGTAAAATACAAAAGGAAAAGAGGAGTGGTTCGCCTTACGACACCTGTGTGGCACTGCCTACCTGATGTTTTTCTTCTCGCCTGCCGCTCCTCCTCTTTTTACAGCAACCTGGTCGTCTGTTGTTCTGGCGCCGAAAGGCCGAAAGCGCAGGCTTTTCCCCTAAATAGCAGGCTATGGTTGTGATTACATGTAGAAGGTGGTCCACACTACAGTGTCACTGACCCTAGACACGAGGAAAATTAGTTTTTTTTTTTTTTCCCCTTTCGTCTTTTGGTGAGTTTGGGAAAGGAAACAAGAGGGATTTTAATGTGCACAGAATGGAGATAAATACTTTATCTACTCCGCATAATCACCGCACATATTGGGACAGTTATTTATGATGACGCATCACAAGGTTTTGCGTCTTCAGACTTTCCAACACGAGTTCAACGCAACCGTCAGTCGCGCCACAGGCGCTCTTCTCTGACCCCTTCCATGAAGGACGTCTGCTCGTCATTTCCGAAAATTCATTTAATTTCCTCCGTGTGCGTTACACGTTTGTGCTGAGTGACAGTCTTGCTCATGCGTAATAAAATAACTAAAATCCCAACAGCTTTTTTTTTTTTTTTTTTTTTTGGGGGGGGGGGGCCGGGGGCGGATGATATTGTCACGTCATAATGGCTACCCAAATATGTGCTGTGATTACGTGGAGAAGTAGGTACAGTATGCCTCTAAGTTTCTTTTATGACGTTTCTTTACCCACTTCATCGGAAATCGAAAGTAAAACACATCTCGTATGTTCCCACAAGGCACTCCGTTTCATGTGAGCGTAGAAGAAGCTACAGGAGCGACCTCCGGGCCTTCAGGGTCCCTGCCTAGTCCGCGCCGTGGTGTAGCTCGAACATTGTGTAGGCATAGCCCAGGTCAACGTGCACGTGCTTGTAGCTTCGACTTCACTCGCAGATAAAGTGAAACAAGATGTAGCATGACATGTCCGTTTTCGTCTTGCACTGTCTTGCACGTTCGCTGCACCGTTAAATGCGTGTTGCATGTTCAGTATGCCCAGAAAGGCTGCGACGCGACTAAGCTGACTCTCGAGGTGCTTCTTGTGCGCACGCGCAGCTCCCGGTGCCCCTCAGCTCATTCCCGAGGACTCCACGGCGGAAAACAACTGCGTCACCGTGGCCTGGCAACCTCGGGTCGGTAGCTTCGTCCAGGGATACGTGCTCGAGTTGGACGACGGCAACGCCGGACCCTTTAGGGTGAGTCGGGCATGTCTTTCGTAGCCGTTCTACTCTCGCTGTCTCCTTGTCCTTTTGTCCCGGGGCAAACGGTTCACAAACTGTGGTCCGCGGACCCCCGGGATCCTGGAGAGCATGGCGGTCCGCACCAAATAAAAAGTCTTTAAAAGAAAAAAAAATTAATAAACTTTTGTTATTGCACGAGGCCACTGATGCAGAATGCATTTGGGGTCCCCGAACGACTTCTGAGTGGGTCGGGCGGTCCGTGATGGCCAAAGGTTTGAGAACCGCTGCTAGGTGGTGACAGCTTAGGAACCCGGTATATGCTACGCCCTGAGCGTGAGCTTTCTGCGTTTGGTAACACTTGGTCGTACTTGCACCCACAGCCTGGCAGAAGACAACGAACTCGTGCTGGACGCGTATGCGCCTTTCACATGATCACCAGTGAATCCACGTAGCGATGCCTGTCTTGAGTCCGCGTCGCCGCACGCACGTCGGTGCCTAGACGAACGCGTCTGCCCCTCTGCGGCGTATTCTCTCGACAAGCTCCGTCCGTTTGCCTCTTGGGGCGGGTCGGCAGGTGATTCTGAAAGCAGATGCAAGTTATGTCATGGGTCGGGCGTATGTCCTTTTTCCGCTAGATTTAGCGAGGAATATTTTCCGCTTAATTTTGTGGACGTGTTTTCCCGCTTAATTCAGCTTTTAAGGCTTTGTTACAATATTTAGCTGAGAAGCTATACCTCTTCTTGTCAAGTGACCACGTGACGCGACGTCACGGTGTTACGTGGACACCTGCGAGCGTATTCTACAATCGCAAGGGTTAGGCAGGAACTTCGGTATTTTTTTCATCTCTCTCTCTCTCTCTCTCTCTCTCTTTTTTTTTTTTTTTTCTTCTATATCAATTGCCCTTTGATATACCCCAGTCGGCTCCTCGCTTCCCTCTTTCCCTTCCCGCTTCTCTGCCCGATGTCCATCTCGTTAAAAGTCAATCTCGTTTCGGCAACCAACTCGCTCCCGGCCGTCTCTCGGAGTAGCAGCTGGTGGCCGATCTCCGCTCGCTCGCCTAATTAGCTCGAAACCGCCGCTGGTAGCGAATTTATACGCTCTGCAAGGCGCGGCTTCACTCGGTCCGAGTCGGCCGGAAAGTTCTCGGATAAAAGACGCACTCTGTGAATCCTATGCACGGCTTGCATTGGACGTTACATGAGTGGCAATTCTGGTACGGCCCTGCTCGGGCTTCGGTGATGGAAAGTGTACGTTCTGCAACGTGCGCTTCGCGCCACCGTATTTGTTTTTTCTTGGTGAGAACAAGTAGAAATAAGCGCCAGCACGGTGCGGTGACGTCGCGTGCAACCCTCGTATACACTAACGCGATGTGTACAAACGAGCCCACGTTTGCCCACACCTTGTCTGGGCACCGCGCGTAAGCAGAAACCAAGTACGCGTGAAATGAATCTTCTGCGCATGCGCAGTTCCGACAGCAGCGCAGCGAAGGACCAAGTGATTGATGGTTTCGGCTTTCTGGTCGCAGAGCCTACCATCGTTGAACCGCCGCCATTGCGATAGTGTCCTCAGCGCTCCTGCTCGCTCCTCAAACAGGAGGCGGCTGCCTAGACTTTTGTTGTAGAAGTCCTCGGCTCGTATATTATGTTTGTAGGTCCTGTATAGCTTTAGCGTCGACTTCTTGCTTGCGTCCTCCATCCAGTGTGCCGTCCCCGCTTCTTTTACCCGTCTTCGTACCTCTTTTGTCCACTTGCCTTCAGACGCTTCCTGAACTGGGTCAGTGAAAAAACCGCTCTTCTTGCGGAGCTGGTACATGCACTTCGTCCACCGTGTCTGGAGGCACCTCAGACTGATATAGTGGAGTGGCCGTCCACGATAGCATACCTTGCTCGATGGGCCTCGAATGTCGACCGTCCAATGTCTTCCTGGATTGCTTCAATCGCTACCTGTCCGTGGCAGCTGAGTGCCTGGCGACCGACATCCCTCTGCCTGCGTTCTAGCCAGGCTCGTGTGTCGGCCGAGACCAAGGAGGTTGTAATGGGCAGGAGGTGGCGTCCGTATTCTCCGTATGTGAAGCGAAGTGTAACGGAAGTAGGCGTCGCCACGAAATGTCCCCTCAATCTCTCGGCCAGTGAGACGATCCTTTGCTTGTCTCTATTCTCGTACCAAGTTCCCCACTTTTACTAGAGCCTCGGGTAATTTTCATCATGATTGGGAAACTCGATTATAACCTCCTTGGGGGCAAACAACCGCGTTGACATGGCATTGCCGCGGAAACGCGGTTGAGGCATCGCCACGAAATGTCCTCTAAGTCTCTTGGCCAGTGAGACGATCCTCTTGTGTATTTTTTTCTTCTACTAAGTTGCCCATCTTAAACCACTGTCCCGGGTAAGTTCCCCACCTTTTACCACAGTTTCGGGGGTAAGGCTTGGGTAAAAACGCCTAAGTGAGTCGTGCTAGCTTTGGAGCAACCTAGTAAAAAATATTTATAAAAAATACTTTGTCGGCCACACGTTGAAGGGCCACGTGTCCACGAAACGTGCTTCCACAAAACGTACAGTGCCGACGAACCGTGTGTCCATGAAACCTGTGTCCACGAAACGTGTTTCGACGAAACGACAGTGACCCAGTGTTGAACGGTTGGGGATGCTGAGGAAGCACACTTGCAACCGCAAGAGCCTCTCTCTCTCTCCGTCAACTTGTCGTTATTTTATGGAATCTTTCCTTTCACACGTTGTAAAACGCTGCAGTCCTTTCACGGTCCGTCCGCCTATTGGGCGACCGCTTGCGTCGGTGAAAGCCTATCTAATTGAGCCGAGACATTAACGTCTTGATAGAGACGACTCCGGACGAGACTTTCTCGCTGCAGTAAAATAACCGGGTTCCCTTTGAAAGCCACCGTCTGCTGCTCCTTGCCGTAGCTTCCCTTAGCTCGTCGTCCGATGTCGTTATCGCTAAGTGCCTTTTCGTGGCAGCCCGGTTCTCGGAAGAGGCGGGGGCGGCGTCCGTGGAGTCGCGTGCCCCGGCTCGGAGTCACGCGTCGCTTCCTCTGACAACGGCGCCTTTGCGCGAGGTGTCTTTTTCGCAGCTCACTGAGCGGTACAAGCAACATTGAGGAACGGTGACGTTGAGATGAACGAGTCTAAAAGAGAACATAGGTTCTACATGTGTTCTTCTCACTCCTTTTTCTTCGTGAGCTACGAGTGCATTTGTTGTGTGTGTGTGTGTGCACTGGCTAAATGTATCACTATACTCGACGCACTCGTGGAACATTATTTTATAAATGAATGAATTTACCCTTAGAATACATTTCTTGTGAATTATCAGTTTTGTGCGAAAAAAAAAAAAAACAACACCCGCTATATTTAGATGCAACGAGTTCAGAGTAAGCTCCGTTATTGGTCTTGTGCCTTCCTTTCCTACCCACTACCCTTTAATCAGAACCAATCACAGCTCGGCGTCCTGACGTCATCGCAGCCCCTACGCAAGAAGCAGACGATACTCGTTGTCAAATCAAGAAAAAAGAAAGTTTTACGGATTATTCATGCGCTGCGAGAAGTAGTTCTTACAAGCTTTCATCGTCGGAGGAAGAAACAATGTTCTTGGCGTTCGAAACGTGTACGTCTTGATTAAATAACGATGAGCTAATCTAAAATGCACTCGCATATATCCTAATTCAGCACATAGAGGAGAAAACCCGCAATGTTCCGTAAATAGCCGGACTTTTTTTTTTTTTGTGTGTGTGTTGTGGTTTTTGGGGTGAATACGAGTACGCGTTCGGGAGCAGAACGCGAATACGCGTTCTGCTACGTCGTTACGCCTCTACCTGGTGCCCCCGAGACGTCGCCCTCCATCGCTGCCCCAGAGAACGCGATCGAAACCCTGCGGGCAGCGGCTAATTCTGCTTCCTCCCGGCCGATGTTACTACCTGCGCAAGCCTCGCAGACCGGGCGAAAGTGCGCACCCGTGAAACTTGCGACGCGAGTCGTTTAGGGGGCCCCTGGTTTCGTGTGGGGCGCCCCGGGGTGTCTTCCGGACGCGTTTCGCGCAGGAAGAGCCGAGAAGGCGTCGATGCGTTTTTAGAAAGGTCTCGGTCTCTCGGCCGCCTCGCGTCCTTTTCCCACGGGTGCTTCGGCGGGTCCCCCCAAAAACAGCTGCCTCCGGCGTTGACGGAGTATCGGAGAGGCGCGGTGCCCTTTTTGGTAATGCCTATCTGTTGCCGTCGCGTTACGCGCATGTCTAACCGTGACGTCGTCGCGTTGTCGTCCCTGCGCGTGAACGCTGAGCGACGAGGATGTGGGACGCTTTTTCACGCCTTCTTGGAGCGGTGTGATGTGCCTCGTAGTGTTCGAAGGCTGCGTTGCACCTTTTTTTGTGCGACGCGACGTCTCGCGAGGCTCAGGATGTCGCGAGTACCAAATAAAAAAGAAAGTTTTATTCGGCGCAAAGGCACAGTCCTCTCACAGAAAATTAACTACTATGTCAAAATTACACATTATAAAAAAAAAAACTAGGAAAAAAAAAAACTTGTCTACAATTGTTTGCAGTTATGCATGTAGCACTACATTCCGCGACAATGTTAGCCCGAGCAATCTGCCGACGATTTTGTTTGTTCTCTTAAATTAAAGGACTGTAAAAAAAAAAAAAAAAACTGCTATAGTGGTGGAAAGTGGTGACATGGGGCACTAACCTAAGTGGTCAATTTTAATGCCCGCGGCTAGTACCTTTTCGGAGTAAAACGCGAAAGAAAGCGCCGAAGTTGCGTTCGCGCTAACAGTGTGGCGCGGTGTACTTGACTTCCATTGATGTCTAACAGCTGTCCTTGTGGTGTCACAGTGTCACGTGCTAGTGTCACGTGGCGTCACTGTGAAACGGGAAGAAAACGATGACCTCAGGGTTTCCTTTCTTAGGACTCGTCAGCGTTCCAGCCTTACGCTCAGACACCAGCTGCTATAAAAATCGTGACGTCATCAGCGTGACGACACTATCGAGGCTGCGTGAGCACCAGCGTTACTAAA